ACCAGGCGGTTTGGGCTATGAAGTTCCATCCTATGGGGCACATCTTAGCTACAGGTTCGCCTTTTTTCACTTTTTTGATTTTTTTCATTTTTTATTGAAGGAACTTCTAGGTTCCAATGACAATAACACAAAATTCTGGGCTCGCAATAGACCTGGTGATACACAGGAGGACATTTTCGGCCTGGCATCTTTCACAACGAACATGGTAAGAGAGAACGCTTTGTGCAAAATTTTCGACAGCTGGGAGTCAAATTTTAGTATATTGAGTGACTATATTGAAGAGAGAGTTCTCGGCTATTTTATTTGAATAAAAGAGTTATAAATCAAGAACTCTATCTAGGTTGGCGCACTGGATAAAGAGCGTGAGCCGAAGAGCGCTGCAATCAGGCTTGAGGACGAGTATATGGCACCAGTAATTCCAGGTGAGTTCCACATTACTAAGTTCAAGTGTACTATATCCGAAGGCTCTTCTTCAGGTATGGGACTGGATGACGAAGTTGTTGAAAAAATGAACCGGGATATTACCTCGAACCCTGCCACGGCCCACCACACTATGCTACTTATGCCAGAAGACTTGAATGCGCGACATCAGGTAAGACTTCAAGAACTTAAAAAAATTTTCCACTGATTTTCTCAAAATTCATCTTTTCAGCATAATGCAAATATTGGGGCGAAGAAAACGCTGATCAAGCAGCCACCGCCGAAGAAAGCACAGCGTCAATTTGAACGAATGTGGAATGTATCCAAGCCTGGAGGCTCAGGATGTGAGTCCTATTATCTTCGTCTCACAATAATATTGCTATGACCTTTTTTAGTTGATGATTACGATGAAGACGCCGAAGAGGAGTTCTTCCAACAACCACAACAGCAGCAGAGGCCACGGCAAGGCCTATTAGGGCAAGCTCCGCCTCCGATGACTATGCTTGCGCAAACTGGTCAGTCGCTGATTAGTGGATCTGTCGAAAAGTAACGAAATGTAATTTTTTAGTCAAAGCTCAGTCCGCAGCAGCTATGGCAGCTGGGTTTGCGGGTGGATTTGCAGGAGCGCAGAAGCTGGGTCTCCTCCCTCCGGGCATGCCACCTGGTTGGAAGCCAGGTTCAACTTCTAGTGGGCCTCCTAGTCCAAATGATGATAAGTCTGGTCCGCCGAAGGCAAGCCCCGCCCAACAGCCTCCACCGAACGACCAAGGTAGGTTAGGCTGCAGGCTTGAGACTTTGTGGAGGTGGAGAAAGTTTTTTTATAGGACGACCTATGCCTTCCCATAGACCTCCGCTGATTGCAAATGCTCCGGCTCCACCAAACTCAGGTCCACCCGCACAACCTCCTCAGGCAGGTCAAAATCAGTCAGGAGGACCTCCGTCTAGGGCGCCGCTACCGATGCCTCCGCAACGACCACCATTCCCTCAATTGCCTCCTAGTAAGTCACATCTAGTCCATCTCCTTGAGATCTCTTTGACACCTGCTCGGCTATCCGCACGGTAGATTATAATATGGAAAAATCACCATGTTTACCGAATTTAACGT